CCCAAATGGTTATATGTCACGGTTTGGACTGATCGGTGACACAAAAAGTTCAGATTTGGTTATTTACATAATAAACTTCATTGCATTATACAGTTAACTTGTTTTCTTTTTAAAATGTTTACGGATCAAGGGCTGTAGTTAAAAAAAAAAATGATAACAGGAATCATCAAAATATGTCATAGTGCAACATTCCCTGTGTTATAATTGATCGCAAAACTTTTCAAAGCATTAATTTGAAGAATCAATATATTAAGGTGATTTACTATTAATTTACAAACACAGATTGTCTTTCTAAATTTTACCACTTTTACCTGCATTTTGTTTTTGGCGAAAACTAAAATTCATCATTCGAAAAAAAGTAATTCATAGTTTAAAGTCTATTTACTTAATACTGTTCATATATCGTTTTTTAAATCAGAAGACGTAATAGGAAAAATTGACTTCTTTGAAAATAATTGCCCGCCGTCCTGTTCCTGTGGAATGCTCTAGAATAGTAAAAGATATGGTCGTACAATAAATGGGTGCAGTAAAAAGGAAATTATATGCCTAATATGCTATACCGTAAGTACAGTGAGCCAATGGAAACCAACATCCTGCCTCCAAGTACTTAAATATGTCTTTTGAATGTGGCGGTACGGAGGGGCTTTTGAAAACATTATTTGAAAGAACGTTTGCATAATTCATTTGAAAAGATGAGGACTGTAATTTTGCTAATTATTTTATCAATAGTAGTATTGGAAATTCGGCAAGGTAAGTAATATGGTGCATCATTGAATAGAAGGTTAATATTTTGTATTATTTGCGTTATACTTTGCAAAGGTCTTTTGCAAGATGTTGCGTTATACTTTGCAAAGGTCTTTTGCAAGATGTTGCGTTATACTTAGCAAAGATCTTTTGCAAGATGTTGCGTTATACTTAGCAGAGATCTTTTGCAAGATGTTTCGTTATACTTAGCAGAGATCTTGTTCAAGAGATGACATGTTATAATTTTGAATTCAACCCTTCGTTATTTAAAAATCATTTAATATTCATTCTTTTGGAATCCTAAAATTATATGAAAGTTAAATACATAGTCAGGTCATTTGAGACTTCAAAAACTTATTTCTGTCGAACAAAAACCCAGCGTACTTAAATAAAGTGTGCAAAAATCGTTAAAAGTAACAATATATATAAATAGCTACGAAGAGGGTATGAACAAATTTTACACATTTATGATAATCAGAGATAAAATAATTATTTCCTTGCTTTCATGACTAGGGCTAAATAAAACGTTATTAAACAGAAGTAAAAAACACTCATGAAAAAGTGTGATGAATAAATCAGATTGACGTAGACTTTTTTCCACATTTGTAAAATAGAACATTGAGAAAAATGGTTGTGTACATAAGGGGGACTTTCCACTTCTTTTAAAGTGAAAACAAATTTAGCATAATTTCTAGACCAAATGTTAACTAAGTCACTTTGTTTCATTTTTTTAATATGCTAAATTAACTGGTTGTGGTGTAAAATGAATAACTCCTAAAACAGAAGGAAACTGTTTGTTATAAAACCACGAAGTGATTTTCAAGGATAACTAATTATTCATCTATATGAAGCTAGGTTAAAAAATGAATTGCACTCTATATATTGTATGCATCCGCAACGCTTCCCTTGTCTGAAGTAACCTCAAGAGAAAATATTTGAAAGCAAAGAATGTATAAATACCAAAACACGTGAAATAAAATAGAGAATGGAAATGGGGAATGTGTCAAAGAGACAACAACCCGACCATAGAACAGACAACAGCCGAAGGCCACCAATGGGTCTTCAATGCAGCGAAAAACTCCCGCACCCGGAGGCGTCCTTCAGCTGGCCCCTAAACAAATATGTATACTAGTTCAGTGATAATGGACGTCATACTAAACTCCAAATTATACACAGGAAACTAAAATTAAAAATGATACAAGACTAACAAAGGCTATAGAGGCTCCTGACTTGGGACAGGCGCAAAAATACGGCGGGGTTAAACATGTTTTTTGAGATCTCAACCCTCCCCCTATACCTCAAGCCAATGTAGAAAAAAACAAATGCACAACAGTACGCACAGTAAAACTCAGTATAAGAGAAGTCCGAGTCCGATGTCAGAATAGGAAACAAAAGAAAATAAACAAAATAACAATAATACATAAATAACAACAGACTACTAGCAGTTACTGACATGCCAGCCCCAGACCTCATTTAAACTGCTTGAAAGATTATGTCTTCATTATATGAATATCAGGAAAAGCTATATGACGAAAAGAAACCTAAAATAAAAGCTAAATCAATTTAGGGTCAACTTACCTGAGAGAGTTAAATCCTTAATTTCTCAATTCTTTCTTTTTTAAAAAAGGAAAATGAAAAAAAAGTATTCATAAATCACGTCATTTCCGAATCACGGACTACCAATCTGATCATATCTTCGAGGACTAATAGTCCACAAGCAGCGGTATATAACCTAGTCCCATGTAGAACTTGAAAAAAATGGTTAATCTACTTTAGTGAAAAGTGATCATTTGCAGTGGATTTTGTTATATTGAAGAGACATGTCGAATTCTCTAGATCTTTTTTTACTTTCCTGGAAATATTAATGATAAAAATACAAATTTCAAGGCAAAATGCAAACACTGCTTTTCTGTTATATCTAAGGATAACATCAAATTTTGTAACTCATCTTAAGGTACGACTTTCAATGATTAAGATATTGTATTATTATGTCTGTAATATTTCACACATACATTTAAAAAGTGGTATAAATACTAGAATGACCAAATTATAATTCTAAATGGATAACACAACACTGCATATCAGATTGAGTTACTTTTTTTTATTTCATTTTATTTCATACATTTTCCTGCATAAAAAGATTGCTATTTGAAAAGCATTACTGTAAAAGTGTTCCATTGTTGTCAAAAGATCAATGAATACCTTGTGATATTTAAATAATAAATAATTGAACATTGTCATAAAACACTAATTAGTTTGTTTTACAATCAGTCTTTTCGCCATTTTGACACTTAGTCATAAATTAAACTCTATGTTTATTATATAATAAGGAAAGAAATTCTCAGTGAATATTTTGATTGAAATTAAAAAAACAAATGTATATTTATAAAAGTAAAGTCAACATTAAGTTAAAATAAGTATTAAACTTCATTTCTGTAATTTCTTTTTAGAGAAAACACAGAGATGTATTTGTGACTTCATGTGGTTTTTCTAGATGTTTGATTTTTCTATTCACTTGATAATAAAATTTACAAATGTAATGTGTAATTCAATGCATTACTTTGATAGATGCATGTAATAGTAATTGTAATTTAATGCATGGTTTTGTCAAAGTAATTGAAATATAAGGCATTACATTGCAATGTAATTCGCCCCATGCCTGGTATATACCCATTGCCCGGGGAAAAAAATGAGATAACACAATTAAAATAGTGTACGTCCGAAGCTCTTTTCTGTATTAGCCGTCATCAGGAACGCTTTGAAAACCAAGGACGCATAAGTACTGAAACAGGAGAAAATATTACGAAAAAGAACCGTGCAGACCTACACAATAAAAAAAAATAAGCGGGTTATAAACTACTAAATTCTCCATTACGTTTACGATTTTTGAATTGTTGGAACGGTTGGTAGTCTTTCTTACTCTACCAGGTAGATTTTTCACAACTTAATCCGACTTAATTTCTTCAATATAACCTCCACCAATAAAAAGTGTCCGTCACGAAATAGCACAATAGTGCTGAAAGTGGCATTAAACACCAATCAATCAATCTATCAATCTTTAACATAACGTATGCTTGTTAAGATATTAAGGTGTTGGCGTTAAAAACTGTTACTATTTCTGATTTGAATAGTTTGACCATGTTGAATGAGTTTGACACGTCAACAATGTAACAGCTGAATGTCCTTATCCTTTATTATTCATATCTTTATGATTTTCAACCTAGTCAATATGCATTATAGTCTTATGCAAGTTTTGTTTGTCCTAGTTGCTAAACTTTGACTTAATATAATAGCATTATATAACTTCTAAAGAGACAAAGTAAACAGTACTGAAATATTTTAATACCCTTATTAATTATCCTTTCTAGCCAAGAATATTGTAGTATTAGTTGATTTTATCTACAATGTTTAGTGTCAATATAATACTTTGAACTATCTATTTGAAGAAACAACCACTCATGCTGTTGTGTATATATCGGGATTAATTCAATATTATTTATAATTCATTCAGTCATTAAGAAAATGTAGATAATTTAAAAGTGATAGAAATTAAAGGGTAGTATAAATGCTCTTCAACTTCGTACTGTATGTGGCCTTTTATTTCTATTCATATTCGATCGTTTCTAATGAGTCTTTTGTAGACGAAACGCGAGTCTGCCGCACACAATTTTAATTCTGATATATATGATAAATTTATTTATCAGCATGTAAAGGGCCTTTTGCATTCTTGTTCTGAATTTCCCTTCCAAATATTGAACGACATAGAAACATTATTTTTGAAAACAACTCACTTATAATTTCTATTTCATATACAATTTTACAATGGTATTTTTAAATGATTACACCGATTTCAGTGTGTATGTCATGTGTTACAATAACCCAAAATCAGCCACGGTACGCAGAAGGAAACATTATATACAAAAATAAAGGATTTTAAAAGTATAGGGTAAAATTGTAAACAAACAAATGTACATATGATTTATTTCTGGTGCAGTAAAATTGGTGCCGTTTAATGTTTTACTCAAAGTAAATTATCTAGACATTATAATATATATGAATAGATGGTAATAAATATAACTGACTACTAGTATCATAAACACGTAGTTCTCCCAATGACGAAATAATAAGAAATCATTTAAGACAGATTATTCAAAAAGGTAAAAAATTTTTGTCACAAATGTGATGGTATATTACTATGGTTCGTCCTTTTGAACATTATTTCTATTCATTTGACCAATCATATTTTTGCTTTCAGTTTTGGGCGTAAATTGTTCAACCTTAGATAATCCGGCACATGGTCGAGTAAGACTACGAGCAAGAGGCAGAATCGCAAAGTTCAGATGCTATCGTAAATACACGTTATTTGGAAAAAAAATGATCATATGTTCAGGCGACAAATGGAGTTTTCCACCACCTATTTGTATACGTGAGTATGGTTTATATATCCCAAACTATCTAAGATCTTTCCCAAACCCCCTTTGAAATCTTTCAAGCAGCCAAACTATTCCGAGGAATCTGCTTATAAAATTGAAATGTTTACACCCAGTACGGCCTCTTGAGAGCGACGCTCGTGTGGTTACAAACGCTGTAAACACTAGTAAACCAATGTAAATGATGAGATTAGATCTATGATTCAACAATGTTCATCAGCAATGCAATCCAGACACACTTTAAATTATTTTGTTATGTATCATATTAAAGTCTGAATATCATTTACATCCTAGAAAATGTTATGAATGGTATACTTGTCATATGCACTGTCTGAAAAAAATATAATATATAATAAAAGCGAACATTTGTCCCATGTACAAATTCATATCAAGAGCCAGTCTGCCAGAAAACCATTGAGCCAGTCTGCCAGAAAACCATGCATTAGTCTCCAAATGCAATGTTATCATATTGACCTCAAATTTTGCATACATGATACCTTCATGGCAACTACTCTCTGATCAAATTATTTTTAAATATATTCAATGGTACTCTCTTCATGGAGCGCCATCTATATATAGCCATTTATGGTGAAAATAAAGCTGAAAATTTGCCAATTTCAGCAGACTTAAGCTGACAAATACCAGTGTTTATCAACATGAAACTGTTTTATTGGTAATATTATTTTGTAAAACTGTATTTTAACTGTCAATTTATATTAACGCCTGAGGTTAAATTTTTTTCCTATATTTGCTCATGCTGGTCTAAATATCAGAAGTTTTACGAAACTGCTAAAATGGTGAAATTTTCTAATTTTTAAAAGTCTATATTTTCTAAAGTGGCAAAAATATATTAATGCCATTTGTTTTTTCTTAAACCCTAATCATATATCTACAAAATATAAAAAAAATCAATTTCAACAAATGATTATAGTTATCAATATAAAATTATTAGTTTAGAAGGAATAGTGGTTTAGCAGGTGTTATCCCATATCAATGAAATTTTTCTTATTTGGACCCATCAATAATTCCCCTCTGGGGCCCCACCTTGTAGAAAATAAACATATGATGCACACCTAAAATATCTAATTAGTATCTCATACAACTTCCACATTAAACCCTTTAGTGGTTGCGGAGGAGTTGCGGACCACAGGTAGTTACACTACACCACTACTGATTTTCTCCTTTTTGGTCCAAAGTTTCACAGCCCCATAAACCGTCAATAGATAAAAAAAAAAAACACATGTTGCACAATTTCACAACCCCCACAAGACACATCATTAGTTTGGTTTAAATACATTCTGTACTTTAAGCGGACTTAAGGATTGTAGATATATTACAAACAAAAAGATGGACAGACAGACAGACAGACCGACATTATGAATATTATATATACCCCAGCTATCACTAGCAAGGGTATATAAGTCCTTTTTTACAAAAGGATCGAATGGATTCAGGACAGCCAATAATTACGTGTCAAGCTAGCCCTTCTGGTTTTAAATAATTTGTTAAAAGAAGAAACGCTGAGGGGATATGGTTGGTTGGTTCACTATTGTGGATACTCATATGAATCTTTCCAATGGAATAAGACATGTGGAGAAAATTTATCAAATCACCAATTACTATATCTAAATTAAAAAGGAGGGATATGTTGTATAGATTCATGACGAAAAATCTTTATATTTACTTGATAAAATCCTAGAAAATTAGCAGAGCTTTTGTTGCTGTTCTTCATCTTAAAGTCACAGTGATGCCTTCAACATGTACAAAAAGCTCACACCTCACTGCAAGTTCAAAATGACCCTTAGCACTGTTTAACTTCATTTAGACTTTAACTGTCGGATTTCATGTACATAAAATAACATGTTTTAATCATTTTCATTTTATATTAATTCAAAATACACGTATCAAGGCAATTAATACTGGAAAGTAAAACACTAATACAATGACGGTGGCATTTTTTGTAGTTACACTGTACTGGTTTTGCAACAAGAATGAATGTAAAGTTGAAATGTCTATTATATCTGTATAATGATATATGTTGCCAAGTCTGCAGACACAGCATATACCGGTATGTCATCATTTAATATTCTGCCAAGGTGTTTTGCAAATCTTCGTCCTCAACTACATTCAAATTCTCAATTCTAACTAATGACGACTTTGCTTGATATCTAGATTCAAGTTTGACAAATTTTGCAAATACACTCCAAACTTGAGATGTGGTAACCACTCATCAGAGTTAAATTTCTTTGTTCCATCATCGTTCTTAAATAGTTTCAAATTATCAAAGGTTTGATAAAATATTTGTCTTTTTTCTGTAGCACTGCATTCTACGTATATATCATGTAATAATTCCTTAACCATACTACCATACCATTTCCTTTTCAATTTTACTAAAACGTTTCAATGGCTTATAGAAACCGTAAAAGTTCATCTTTCTGCAATATAAATTCAAAAGCTAATTGTAGCAAAACCGTTGTGCTCATGAAAATCAGCAACACATGTCTTAGCCCAGAGAAGTTTCGCTTTGTAATAACAATTTTCTATGTTGGCATATATATATATACGCTTATATATGCATATATGATATTCTAAGACGTGAGGTGTTTGTTTAAACATTTAAGCAATTTTGCTCTGGACAAGCAAAGAATGGATCATCATCTGAATTATCATCAGTGTCGGCTATTACATTTGCTCTTGGAAAATATTCAGTTTCTGCTGTTTCATTATATCCTCCATCTAATTTGTCTTTGTGATAAGTGTAATTAACAGATCCTAGTTTCTGATTAAAAAATGGTATTTGTACCTACAAAAAAACACGTAACCATATTTTCATAACATATGGAACTGATTGAGCATAACGTAGGTAAATATTGACAAAATGCTAAAAGAATAGTGTTCTAGCTCAATACAAATTTTTTTTCTCAAAAATGACGCTTGACATTATTGTCTCAAACAGACTAGAAATTTTACTGACACTGCTTTTTTTAGAACAATACAAGGGTAATTACTAGTGAAGCATGACAAGCTTACCCTTCCTAAGTACCAGAGTACCTTCTCTCGTTGTAGTTTTTGGTATCGGGTCCGTTCGCTCCCAATACACGTTCGCATCTTACACGTTCGCCCCCTGGGTCCATTCGCACCCTATTTTTGTTGAAAAACCGGTTGAATTATTAGATGTTTTTTTATGTATATATACTGGGACGATTATATTAAGGGGGGTGGGGTTAGGAAACACAAATCATATATCTGCTCAGGATTCGTAATTTTTGTTTGACGATTCTATACTAAAGTACAGTTTGACATGTAACTGCTTTCGAGAAGGTATTCATGCTTCCAATGGCAATTTGTTATAATTTTATATGATCATTCATAAAAATATACAGATATTTGATAACCCATATCAAATTCATGAACGTGTGCTAGTAAATTTTATCAAGCCAATGTCACAGTACTGACCTGGACCTGAAAATAACCAAACTTAAAAATCAAGAATTTGGTCCACCAAGACGATGCAAATTTTCATTGATAAAGACATAAGACATAAGACATACGACATTTTATTTCACAAAAGCCCCCACATGGGGTAGGTTAATACAACATTTTAACAAACAATAAAAGTTGGAACATATTTACATTAGAACAACATGGTAAACAATGGTGCAATGATAGTATACATAATGAATACTAATATGTGACAGAAAGTACAAATTATAGTAACATGATTAAGCACATGTATTAAAAGGTTTTAATAACACTTCAAAATTTTGCTATTCCAGTAATTGTAAATAAATCTGGTGTATTCACCAGTTCTTTAAATTTTAAAACATTTGGGTTATTACACATATTTAAAGGTAAAAATTTAGCTCTTACATTGTTGAAAAAGGTACATTTGAATAAGTAATTTAACTCATCACCAAGTTCATTAGCATTACAGAGATTACTATGTCTTTCAGTTCTATCAATATTTAAAAATCTGTCAGTTTCAATGGGCAATCTATTTCTAAGGCAATGGAATTAACATAAATACATTCTTAGATCAGATGGTAATACTAATAAATATTTCTCAAAACAAAAATCAGATTTGTATATTCTATTATTAAGACATTTTGCAGAATTCATCACATTATTACTCCAGTTCAGCACCCTCAAACATTTCTTTACATTCTTACTAATATTATATTATCAGATTTAGCAATTATTTGATTATCCCACATCAAATTAAATCCGCATTTATATAAAGTATCTCTTTTAATTTCTGACAACCATTTAAAGTGGTAGAAACCCCTTTTACTAAGCTGATACAATATAGAATACAGTGTATATGAATTTTTTTCTCTTTTGCCACACATGATACGTTGCCAAAAACCAACCATTCTAGCTTTGATAAGAATATGTAATGGTATTCTCCATAAATCATACAATAAGCAGTACTTTTTTAACCTTCAAAATTGTTTTACAAAATTCCACATGCAAGTTTTCTATAATATTACAATTTTCAAAACCGCATACTTCTGCACCATATAACAAAATAGGTACAACCATCGTATCAAAAAGCCCTAATTGCATATCAATTGGTAAATTCAACTTTCTAGCCTTTCTTAAGACTATAAACATGACTTTTCTTGCATGCTGTACAAGATGTGCTTTAATTTGGCATCATTGAAATTACCCGTACATGAAAATATGATACCAAGGTATTGAAAATTTTTAACAATATTTAGGCTTTCACCACTATATTCAAAGTTCTTATTATATGTGTTAAGTCTAGACCTTGGAAACTAATTATAAGACATTTTTTTGTTGAAAATAAATTATTTGTTGCAGAAGGTTTACAAGAGAAATAAGTAATTTCTTTGCCACAGATTTTAGATCATTTCCCCTTACATGAAAATATTTAATTTAAATCAGCCTAGAGCAAAAATAAATAATTTACCCCAAAAACATTGAAAATTGATATTTGATCCAAAAATCTTCCAAGCTCAACCCCATCCCCCCTTTTCTCCAACCAAAAAATCAAATGGTCCTCATGAATCTATTATGTGTATGTGTATGGATAGAGAGTTTTTTCTTATCTGTTCCTATGTTGATGACCTCTCCCTTGTTTCCAACTAGTAGGCCTTGTAGACTCTCTGTTTTCTGTTGCCTTGCTGGAAGCTATATGTTCTAGGTAGCAACATTTCAGTTTACTTAAGCTTCCTCTCCAATAAATGCCAAAAATAGTCTCGTTGTTGTCGGAATATGTTTAACTGAAGCGATATAGCATCAATATTTAAAATCCAGTGCCATATGAAAATAGGGTAAACTTTCTTGGTTCACTTTGACTTCTTTCCAGACACTCCAGTCTAATCAAATGTATATGTGTGTTCTTATTTAACTGTGAAATAGGTATTGCGGGTGTGTCATTGTTATAACTTGGTTATTTTCCACAAGAGATACCAGTAAATATGAGTAGTCTCATCTCTTGTTCTACTTCTCCGTGACAGACAACTTATGGTAACATTATGTTTTCACAACGGAGAGTGTAAACAAGGGGAAATAACTCATAGAAAACCTGTGAATGGTTTTTTCACTATTTCAGAGATTTTTTGGCAATAATACATAAAAATAATGACATTATGTATGTAAACTGTATCATGCAGTAATTCTATTTAATTCAGATCTAAAGTTAATTCATTGGTTAGGGTTAATGGGTTTTAATAAGTTTTAAATAATTCAGAAATTTATCAAAATATAGGAAAGTTAGATGCAAATTTCAATATCCTGCAATAATTTGCCAAATTAGATTTTAGATATTTTTGACAATATCTTTTGGTATATTCACTGATGCTTATTTCATGAATAAATAAATGCCACTTTAGATTGATGGACTCAAACTTCCTTCAAAATTCATTGTGGTCTACAGGGCCCTTCACAACGAATAATCATTCGAGACAAATCTTTCCTGACATGGTTTATTTTTGTCTATCCAGATCTTTTTAGCAAACATAAGTTGAAATTACCAGTAACACTGTTAAAAATCAGAATTTATTGAGTTGAAACTATACACTAGCATTTAAGTGATTTTTAGGCATTTATGCAAATGAGGCTGTTTCTAAAAATAGACACGATGCAACAAAGTCTAAGATATATTTTCAATTTTTCTTTATATATAAGATTTCAAAAATATAAAAATATTTCAAAAGTTCCGACATGCCATTTGGACAATATTTTCGATTTTGCATGGTTTTCTGGCAGACTGGCTCTTAAAGACGGAATTGCCAACATATCTTTAATTGAATTTAAGTGTTTTGAGTAATATCATACACAATACCGTATCGATCTAAAAAGGAAGGATAACATTTCAGGGGAAATACACTAGAGGCTTAAAGGTGGCTCACCTGTCAAAATACTGTAGTATGCAAAATAGAAATAAAAAAAAAGAAGTAACAGCACTTGCATCCATCTGTCACCGTTTAAGTAAAATTGTTACCAGATTTAATCAATATCAGCTAGGAGAATATCAGGAAAAAAATGGTCGTAAAGTCATTTATGGGTATTAACCCATATAAGGAGTCAGTTTACGATTTCTAACATTAGCTTTCCTTGTAACTTTTGTCTTCCTGATAATGTTTTCTGTTTGCAGTTCCTCTCTGTTTATTATTGTTTTAAGGTTAAAAGCCAAAAGCGCAAAATCAAAAAATTAATGGCAACTGCCAACAGGACAACATTTCAATTAATGGGAACTGTCGATTGACGTTTATTCTATATCGGATTTTGCTGATAGTTTAACTGTTTACAGTTTTTCCCTTTCTATGATGATTTAGAAGAAAATAGCCCTTGAAATAAACAGATTTGGAAAATAAATTCTTGCTAAATTTTTTCATTCGAAACACTATTGTTTGATAATAAAGATGTTTTTTTCTGTCCAATTTTCATGCGGTTCAATGCAAATTCTATCACTTTAGTCATGTTGTAAAAATAATTTGATATTAATATTTACTTATATGTTTGTGTACAGTGTACTTTCAGATATTTGACTGTTTCAAGTGACTTTAACACGTACTAAGCTCAGTTTATCACAACAAATATGGGGAAAGAAAATATTGTTTGATAAATTTTACATTAAAAATTAAAAGAGAGGCGAGATATACCGAAGGGACATTCAAACTCGTAAGTCGAAATAAACTGACAACGCCATGGCTAAAAATAAAAAACGATAATAAAGACAAAGAATAGTACACAAAACATAAAAAAGAAAACTAAAGTCTTAGCAACACGAACCCCACCAAAAACTGGGGGTGATCTCAGGTGCTCCGGAAGGGTAAGCAGATCCTGCTCCACACTTTGCACCCGTCGTGTTGCTCATGTAAGTACAAACCCGCTGATTCGTTAGGTCTCATTCGGGGAAAAGGGGACGGAATTAGAGTTACGGCAATTGAAACATCCGTCGTCATCTGTGAAACAAATATTCCATAACGATCAACCAACTCGTAATGGCGTCCATAAAATTTACGAAGGGATGATTTTAAATTCGCCATTTGAAACTCTTGGTTTGATAACTTCCTTGTGAGCAGCAACCCTCTATCAAGGAAATAATGATAGGAAATACAAGCCCTGTAATATCGTATCAACTTGAATATATATACGCCGTATGCAGGCGCTGCTGCAATATTGCTACATAGAAATGGAAAATTCACCATTGGGAAGTTGAAATCATAATAGCTAATTAAATTCTGTATTAAAATCATTTATTCAAACTAAAAAAACTTTATATTAGCAGTTCTAACTAACTGTTTGACAAATCCGTTAACTACATAATATATACACCCGTTATGTCTAGCCAACGAATTCTGTCATAGGCAAGATGTTTGAAAAATAGTCTAAAAAATTAATTGTTATAGCCAAAACTCTGTGTAAGGAGGAGGAAACAAATGAATGAAAGAACATTTTTTTTACAAATAATCATCTCTAAAAGCAGACAAAATATCATAAAATTGACAAGTTAAAAAACCAGGAAACTACTTTTTTCAGGAAAAGGTTGTGATGAAATTCAATCTACAGGAAATGTTACAATCACTGAAGAAAAAAATGGCGCTGTACTAGAATTCAAATGTGCTCCACCACTCATATTGACAGGCGAGAAAATGATCACGTGTGATGGAGCTACTTGGAGTGCCCAAATTCCTTCATGTAAATGTACGTATGTTTTAGTGCTCACCAAAGTGATTCGAGCGTCACTGATAAGTCTTTTGTAGGCAAAACGGGCGTCTGGATTACAAAATTTTGATTATGGTTCTCATAACGAATTTATTTGCATTAAAAGATTTTCTTTCAAAACAAAACTAGAAAATAGTGTATTTCATTTAAAAGGAGTAAAACTTTTAAATTTTAGCGACAGAAACATACAAAACTTCCTTCAACTAATGATAGAATAGATAATGTTCCTTATCTTGACAGTAGGTAAACAACTTGAACAGGAATTAAACTGCCTACACCTTACAGCAGTTGTCGACGAAAGTTTTACTGTTTCACATTCCTCAGTATTTAGACATAGAAAACTTTATATTTATTTTTCATGGAAAACACATTTAAAAAAAATAAACGCTGGTGAGCTTTTAATTGAATATAAGAACAAAACAAAACAAATAAAGCACATAAAACATACGACTTGATAAAGACAGACAACAATCAGAATTATGGATTTCGAGCAAACTTATATTAAAATTTAATAAATAATTTAAAACATAAAATACAATTATTTGACAATAAAAATGCGCAGCTCATGTGGCAAGCGCCTCTATCGGTCATTGGACAGCAGATTATCAGCTGTGAAAATTGAAAAGTTTAAAATTAGCACTAGATAGCAAAGCCATTTATATAAGCTAAACATTTGAGTTAAATAATATATCAAGAAATCAGTAAAATAAAAAGAAATGAGTTGCAGAGCTGATACTATGGTTTACGATTTTTTGTATGACACATGGGAAATAAAGCATTCCTATGTTATTTTTTAAGTTATCTTATATAGTCCTTTGCTTTATTTTGTATGCAGATGTAGAACCAGGAAAATACTGTGATTTTGAAGATGAAAATATTTGTGGCTGGCAACATGATAAACTAGCAAACTTTGAATGGAAATGGAATTCTGGTACCACACCTACTCGACGCACAGGTCCGAAATATGACCATACCTTGGGGAAAGGTCGAAACGGTAGGAAAATGAACATATAATTATAGGGGTTTTCTTTTCTTTTTTGATGAAAATGAAGCTCGAAAAAAATTTAACTAAAAAATAAGCAATGTGTTACAGAATAATGATTCTATAGTATACACAATGTGTTGATCTAAATGTGTCAAAGAATTTTTTCCTTATGCGCTAGTCGCAATTAAGTAAGAAAAATATACATATTTCAAAATATAAAGCAATGTGTTATCTGAATTGATAATTGCTTCGTATGGCATATTTGTGAATCCAATTTCTTGTTTTTTCAGGACATTATATGTTTATGGAATCATCATCTCCTATAGAAATGAACGACAAAGCAAGATTATTGTCTCCGTATTTTCCAGCTACAACCGGTGGTCTGTGTTTTGAGATCTGGTATCATATGTTGGGACCAGTAGGATACAACCGTATGCATTGGTCAACAAATTATATTTACCATTTCATGGAAGACTAACGGTTTCAAATTGATCACAGAGTCTTTTATCGCTTGATAATGTTATGGGTTTTATTGATACCACATGTTCATATTGTTACATATAGCGGTTTTGGTAAGAAGTCACAGTTGCTATACTTCCTTATGAATATCTGTGTCACAGATGACCACAAATATGTTTAAATTGTCGTAACCACGATCCCTTTCTCTTTTCCTCGGTTGTAACATCACCGAATGTGACTAATCACCGAATTTATAATCACCAGGAGTAAGCTAGCAATACACAGTTAGGAGTTTGGTTTCGCATTTTGGCCCCGCTAAATTTTTCAAATATGAAAGTAATTGTGCAATCAAATTGATTTTTAGATAGCTGAAGAATAATAGCCTTCAAAGTGGGTTTATATTTTTTTTGTTCGAGCATATTGTTTTTCTTATATTATTTAACATTTCACAGCGGTATAACATGTTACTTTTATTATTCTTCCCTTAGTTTATTTATTTTGTATTTACATTGTATCATAGATCAAATTTATTTGTTCAGTGTATGTTCACTGGTATTAATATGTGCTTTGATTGAGTTAAGCCATTTCACTTGATATTTTATAGTGTGTCTTTCTATGTTGTGATGTTACACTATTGTTTCAGAAAAAGGGTGAAGGTTTGGTACCATTAAAACGTTTAAACCCGCTGCAATTGTTTGCACCTATCCTAAGTCAGGAATCTGATGTTCAGTAGTTGTCGTTTGTTGATGTGGTTCATAAGTGTTTCTCGTTTCTCGTTTTTATATAGATTAGAACGTTGGTTTTCCCGTTTGAATGGTTTTACACTAGTAATTTTTGGGGCCCTTTATAGCTTGCTGTTCGGTGTGAGCCAAGGATCCGTGTTGAAGACCGTACTTTGACCTATAATGGTTTACTTTTATAAATTTTGACTTGGATGGAGAGTTGTCTCATTGGCACTCATACCACATCTTCTTATATCTATTATATGATGGTTGAGATGGTTTTTTTCCAAGTTTTATGGACCTTTTTTCTGTTTGACAGTCTGTATTTTCACATACGCACCGCCCATATGTCCAGAAATTATTATAGTGTTTTCCAACAAATATTTACGCCTGAATTTTTTAGTTCAAATTTTTGAAAAAATCAGATGAAATGCATACGACTTTTATTCAACCTCTTGATAGATACATGTCAATGGTTTCAGAAAAGGTATCACTCAAATGGATTGAAATTCTACTTTGGACCAAAATTTTGTGACTTTTGGCCCTCCTTTTTGCAATGTTTTGTATAAAATAAATATAGATTTTTGCCATGGTTTCACAAAAAGAGATTATATTTCAGCATTTTAACTACTTAGTATTGAAAATCAAATCTATGAAGGATGCTGTTTCGATACACATGCACATTTATGACCATGATCGGTATACCCCTTCCGGAGCACCTGTTATCAACCCCAGTTTTTGGTAGGGTTCTTGTTGCTCAGAATGTTTTTTCAATGTAGAGTTTGTCCCCTTGAAACAGTATTTTCTGCCTCTTTTCTATGACAATTCGACTTTGGGAGAGAATGAGCATGCTTTAAAAATGCAAATGTTCGTACAAAATTTTCAAAAAATTTATAAAAAAAAAAGTTTTTTGTTCAAATTGTTCGAGTTCTAATCAATCGCATGAAAATGGGTAATATTTGAAAACAACAAAGACTGTAAATAAGAGTAGATATGAATTGCTGATGCATATGTAATCCACTCTGCAAAAACATAATTTCTGTTACAACAAATAACTGAGAAATATTAATGAGTCGGTTAGGATTCTATTTACATCTGGGCATATTGTATACACAGCGTTGTCTGCATGATAATCTCTATGAAACTTTTCAGTGTTTTCGTGTAAAAGACTAATTTCTGTGGCACTCTTACCAGCAATGAATTAGAACCTTATTTATTGATTTCAAAACGATTCACAAAATGTAAAACGTATATTTAGAAAAATAACAGAATATCCTTTTTCAGATTATAGCATGTATTTGAATAATATTGAATAGATAAATATACTTCATTATCACTGAACTAGTATATATATATTTGTTTAGGGGCCAGCTGAAGGACGCCTCCGGGTGCGGGAATTTCTCGCTGCATTGAAGACCTGTTGGTGACCTTCTGCTGTTGTCTGTTCTATGGTCGGGTTGTTGTCTCTTTGACACATTCCCCATTTCCATTCTCAATTTTATTTAATACTATATGAAAAAATAAAGTGAAGGAACTATTAATACGAATGACCCAAAAAATAAGCTTCTGTGGCAAAATTTTGAAATTTACATCAGGAAATTACCTTTCCCTCACCTTGACCAATGGTATTACTGATATCCATAAAAGAAAGCAAGAAAATCATATTTACTCATTTTCTTAACAGAAGTTGGAAGATTAAAAATATATATTGGAGAAATGGGACAAACGGATATACTATCACAAAAAGCAGAGTTCGAGGTTTTTGGGAATCAAGGGGACGAATGGATAAAAGGACAATTTCCAGTCGGAGAACGAAAAACGTCTTTCATGGTAACTATGCAGTTGAAAGGCAACATACTTCCAAATTAGAAATTTAAATAAAATTATCTTTTTTCCCCCTCAATATAATGTTATCAGTATATATGTAAATTAAAGGCAACATTAGTTAACCGAATGATGTTCAAATCTTATAAATCCATTACAAAGATACAAATGAAGCAGATAGAAAACAAATGTTGAGGTAATCACATGGACTGCAATAGGAGCGAAACCGGAAGCATCGATAGGGTAGTTTCCTGCTGCTGTGTATGCATCACCTGTAATACGATTTCAAACTCATTCACAATGTCACAATATGGAATAGGACACAGCCGATAAATTCAAAGATCAGACAAATATTATGGTACCGAAGATCCAACACCGCAAAATCATATCGCTAGTGAGTTGAGACACAGACAGCTCGTGTCGGTCAATCAATTCATGATGGTGATTGTAAAACTCATGAAGTGTCGATTTCATTCCTTTTTGCTCAACCTCTGTTTGAGCAATTTTGTGTAAGTAGCACAATGTTAATGAATTCCGTATAATGTGAGCATGTAAGAGTGACACGCATTGATTGGAATATGAAGACAACATTCAGGGATGTGAAAAAACTATGCCTCTATTATCTGGCTTGTACTAAAATCTCCCAGACAAGTATACATGTTCCAACTACTTGACCAGACAAGTAATTTCTGAAAAAATGTTTTGCATTCAAAGCGCTTTTCTGGATTTACCTTTATCATAAACGCTTAAACTTATACATTTAATAGCCATGACTGTGCAATAGCAGACAGTAAGGATAAGTAAAAAAAACTTGGCAAGTATAATTTTGTATAGTACTTGTACTTGGGCAAGTGAGGAATTTGATATTTTCACACCCCTGGACTTACGATGGACAGAAGCTATTGATATGTAACTGCTGAGAAATGGTAAGTTGACGGATTGGATAGTTGAAGTCATCATGTTTATCATAGAATCTGGTTTAAAGTCATGCATCTCTGTCAATATCGTGGAAAAAATCAAAATAAGAAGCAGACCTACTTTCAGTAGTATCCTTACGCTGAAGTTCACTGGAAACATGAGATGTAATGACTTAACAAAAATGTGGATAATTGAGTGACAGAAGATCATCAATATACATTAAAAAGGAATTTAAAGAACTTTTTTGCAAGATGCTCTTTCTTTATGTTTTTGCGAGGACTACAACCGAAAATCCTGTTTAAAATTATTGTTCAGGAGACTACGAGGATGTTGTCCATACAGATTTTAGCTTTAACGTGTCCAATAATTTCACTGAAAATCATTTTTAGACATTTCTTCAAAACGATCCAGAGTATGTGAACATTGATTTCTATAGGGTACGTTGAAGAATAATACATATGTTATTATGTATTCTTTCATACCAGGTTCCACATTAGAAACATTTATTTTCCTTATTTAAAATCAACACAGATATAAACAACTGTGTTACGCCATCTTGATATACGATCAAGATAGTTTCACAAAAGTGATAAAAATAAAAAAAAACCACTCACATATCTTTTCCACCGATCTCGAGTTATTTCGCAATTGAAAACATAATATTTTCCCTGTTCCTTGTTCTCGTTAAAGTAACGTTCTTCACAAAAAAAAATATTTTATTATCGAAGTTTGATATTTCAATTTTGTGAGACATTTGATTGCAGTAAAGTTGAATTTGTTTACATAAACGACCGAGTAGCCATTTTCTGTCTTTGGCCATGGTTTATTAGGTACGTTTTTATATAAGGTCTCAACTTCTAAATTTTCTGAAACGTAGAGAACATAAAGGTAGAAGTTTACGTTAGATGGTTTTGCTAAGTTTGAAGTACCTTTGGTTAAATGTATCTTTCAATGCATTTATGTACATCTTTCTTCCCTTATCAAACAGTTCCTTAAAGCCCATCAGGTGAATCCAAGTAAAAAACAATTCAACAAAGTAACCCTTCAATAAAGAAACCCTTCCCATTGTACTTTGTTTTAATGAAACACTGTGTTATTACAATTTTAAGTCGCTGTAGACATACACCCGGTCATCAATGATTCTGCAAAAGACATAATTTATTGCGTACATTTAGATTTTTCAATCTGGGAATGTCGATAGCATCCTCTAAAACTTTTATTTACTCTAAAATATTGTAAGGTTTCTTGAAAATCCTTTTTAAATCAAATCTTTATAGACAAACCCATTTTCATTACAATCTTCACAAGTGACTAAATATTGTTTTTGTATTTTCAGTTTATAATTGAAGGTACGAAATTAAAAAGTCACTTGAGTGATATTTCTGTAGATGATCCTAAACTGTACAACTGTTCGGATGGTAAGTTTTACTATTGAACATCACTCTTACAGTCGTTTAACAATAATGATAATTGGCTTTATTTCATAATCTATAATTATCTTGACAAATATTTACAATACTAGTGGGCCAGTAACTGTCAGTTACAAATTACCGCTACATGTCAGTATATGCAGTAACGAACGCACTATATAGAAACGACAAACTCTTCTTATGTTCAGACACTTTTTTCGTTACTTTAAACGGATTACGACAGACAAGTACAGAGTTATTAGAATTTAACGAGTCGTGCGAAGATACATGTGCGATGACATGACGTCTTCGTTTTATGAAGTTATCGATTGTGTTTGGTTTATTAGACGTACCTTCTTTTCTACTTCTAATAAAAGCAAATTATGGTATTCATGTTCAGGTTGGTAGATTTTGTTATCAATGAGGGGCTAGATTCAGATATGACGGTAACTGGTTTTTGTACTAATAAAATATCAAGCACACTTACATTGCCACACTATAATAACGCTTTTTTCGTAGTTTATCAGATTATTAACAGTTGGGTTTCTCACTGTACAACCCTGCTTTTTTGCCGCTAATTAAAGGAGATGCAGATTAAGTCTACATTGTTAAACCTAACCTTTAATCTTTCATATATTACAGAGATATTTTCAAACTGATGATCTGTAAATCAGTATTCAAGAAATAGGGAAATTGTTGAAACTTTTTCGGGAAAGCGATACTTACGCAATATGAATAAATTTTTTTTAATAATTCCACTGTTAAAAATCACTGTATGTAGAATTTGTATTCCCGAATTGATTTCGCTTAGCAAAATGTGGTATGACATTGATCTGTTTCAGCATTATTGCATTAATATTAATTCGCAAATCCTAAAACATACATTTCTGTAATAAACAAAAGCCAAGATTCAGCGTCTTGATGAAAGCATTTTTTGGTTATTGATTTATTTATTTATTATCACATTTATCACATATTTGCTTAATTCATGTATTTAGATATTTACTTATTATATTGGAGGCCTTGGGTTGTTTTTTTTTCTATCTTTGGTCGGGTTGTTGTCTCTTTGACGCATTCCCCGTTTCCATTCTCAATTTTATTTACATTTTTACTACGGTCGCTGTTTTTTTCTGGTTTCTAGGCAAAAGTTGTCTTAATAAGTAACTTCAGTATTTATTTGGATATGATGTGACATGTAACGCCAATTTTGATTAAACGACGTCTGACTTTTCGTTGTAACTGTCGACGTTTTCAAGATATAAATGTTTTGTTTCGAGTTTATTGCGAGTATTCCATTAGAATAGGTATAACAATACCGTAATGTCAGCTCAGCAATCAGTGCTTCGGAAGCTTTAAATGAGACATACTTTGACATGAAATTAGTAAAACTTAAGGTAAAATCTGGTGCACATGTCGAAACAACTGAAACACCGTTAATTTCAGCAAAAGGTACCAGACTAGTAAAAACAACGGAAGAATTAGCAGCTTCGCCTACAGGTGTTATTTTTATTATTCACTTTGTAAAACCTACTGAAAGTTTAACTATAAAAACAATTACGATAACATATAGCATCAAAAATAACTTCTGGAACATGGAAACCCACTACTTGTTAAACAATAAATTTCTGCAATAGACAAATTAAAGCTAAGATTCATCGTCCTGAAGAAATCTTTTTCTAAATGTTTATCAGATTTATCACATATTTGGTTACTTGATGTATTCATCTAATCAAACATTTACTTTGATTGTTGTTTTTGGTTATTTTTGCTTGTTTCTACCAAAACATTGTCTACATAGTGACTTCAGTCATTTATCAAATGCAATATGGCTTGTACGCCATTTTCATTGATTTAGATGAGTCTGTCAACAATTCCATGGGCGACAGTAGGACTCATTGGCAACAAGGTTGCGAAGAAGCTCTAGATGTTTTTTTGGGGATATTTTAAATGTTAATTTTGAGTTTTTTTATGAGTATTGTATAATAATAGGAATAACAAACAGTATCATTTACTCAGTAATCAGTGCTTCGGTACTGATACCATTTAAAACAAATCTAATGTTCTCAAGGAATAATAACCTTAGAAGAATTATGCTATCAATTTAAGGTTCCCTTTGGCCTTCAAAAGTTTAAGTTTAAGTTTCCCGGTGGAGGTAATCCAGAAAACTGATTCGGAAGAACTAAATTTAAAGAGTGTTATTTTCATTCATTTAAAGAGTTGACAACGTCAGTTTTGGATTTGACAGCCGCAAATATTCGTTTTACTTGTTCGTCTCTGCATCGCGAGTAAAACTGCCTTTTCAACCAACAATGTCCTAAAAAAAGGTACTGCTATTCCTTAATTCAGATACCTGCGAAAAATGGTCAGACTTAAAATTTCAAACTTAAATTTCACAAGTACCTTTTACTTCATGAGGATTTTAATTTCAATACAAAACGTAAATACAGATTTGAACAACTAATATATTGTTATCATTTAACCGATGTCGAAACTAATAAGTTATAAAATATAAAATAAATGTCATTGTAATCTTAGTTACAACTGAACTCTATAGCAATGTTTGGATCTACTGAATTCTATAGCAATGTTTGGATCAACTGAATTCTATTTTAATGTCTGGATCTACTGAATTCTATTGCAATGTTTTGATCTATTTGATTCTATAACAATGTTTGGATCTACGGAATTATTTAGCAATGTTTGGATCTGCTGAATTATATAGCAATGTTTGGATCTACGGAATTATATAGCAATGTTTGGAGCTGCTGAATTATATAGCAATGTTTGGATCTACGGAATTATTTAGCAATGTTTGGATCTGCTGAATTATATAGCAATATTTGGATCTGCTGAATTTTATAGCAATGTCTGGATCTACTGCATTCTATAGCAATATTTGGATCTATATAATTCTATAGCAATGTATGAATCTATTTAACTCAATTTATTGATGCAAATTGTTCCCGATTTAAAATAAGGAATTGGTACATCATTTTGATAAACTATCAAGTGGTACTTTAATGTCTTATCACATTTAAATTCGATGACAGAACGTTATTACATATAGATAATCAATAAAGCAACACGAATCCCAGCAAAAACAGGATAAACTCGGCTGCTTCAGAATGCACGAAGTTTCACTACTGTCATCATACTTTCGTTAAATTAAATGTTTCGTGTTTAACCGTACGACATTACCAAAATTACACTATCGGTTCCCCTTGTGAAACGTATGAAAAATCTAACAATTATGCATGATTTAATGTGAAAGATTTAAATTACATATATTGGCTTAAACCTATCAAAAGCTAATGGTAAGACCGGTGGACAGGATGGGCTAACAGTAGTATCCGCTGGTTTGTTCATGATAAGATAAATTATGTTGATTATTCGCATTTTGTAAAAAAGTAAATACGGAAATAATTAAAAAGTGTCTATTTAGTCTTTAATGAATATTGTTTTTTTTTATGTAGATTTTAAGGACAGTACTCTTAGTAATCGAGAAACAACTACAATCGACGCAACAGATGCTGTTATGCAAACCACAGGTTGGACATTATTGAATACACCACGAAATACTTTTACAACGATGCATCGTAGACCAGTCGGAACTAATAAAGCTTCGTTGCGTTCAGCAGCAGTTACTGAATTAGAAAAAGTCGCAATTGAACTATCAGCTTCCCTTACAGGTGTTCTTTCAACTGGTTACCGAGTAAAAACTACTGAATGTTTAACTGTCAACAACACAAAATCGCCTAAAGCATCAAACATAACTTTAGGAACAAGGAAATCCACTTCTCCTACAGTAACCGAAGCAACTACTGATTATCAGACAAATAGTGTACCAGTTAAACAATCGTCAATTGTTCTTAGTTCTGAGTCAATGACAACCCAAGAAAAAGCAAAGACGCGCATGATTATGAAGGCAACAACAATTAAAGAAACAACTACGCGAGAAACTACTAAATTAAAACCAATAACTAAACCTGTCATGTCAATCAAAGCTTCAACCTCTACGACAGCAACTACAAATAACATAACAACGACGTGGAAAATAAAAACAACAATGAATACAAAATCTACAACATTTGCAATTAGTACAGCACATAAACCGGAAAATACCAATGATGTCAAGACGACTAGCCCTACGAAAACGTCGAAACGTGAACCATTAAAAAGAAGTTCAATTGGGTTAACTACACAAGGTGTATCGTTTTCTAACAAAAAGTTAGAAATGTCTTCTGAAGATACTTCATATTCGTCAGTTAAGTATCAAACTTCAACAGAAGGTTCACCAGAAATAGTTGAATCAGACGACACTGTTAAACTACTCATGATTGTTATAGGAGTAGGAATAGTAATTGCATTAATGATAATGACTAGCGCAATTTATGCTCATCATAAAAAGCGACAAAAAGAATGTGTTTTGTGGGACAGAGGGGAACCGATAGTTAAAAATGACTCAATCGATATGTATAATTGTGGCAAAGACAGTGATGTAGGCTATCCTTTTGAAACATAAACGCTTAATCATGGAAACGAAGGCAAATATTCTCTTTCACCAAACAGCTAATCTGCTGTGCCTAAAAGTGTCTCTCCTTGCATGCCAAAATTGTTGTTACTGAGCAAATATCACTTTTTGTCTCAAGCGTTCCTGATTTGATTTATTAGAAAAACATGCGCTCTTAAATCGACATCATACATTTATTAATATTATAATGAACCTAGACTATTCCCTGACAGTTATAGCGACTCAGTAGTGTCGTGTTTCGTAATGATATCATTTTTAGCTTACCCGTCCCAAAGGGCCGTAGTGAGCTTTTACCATCACTAGGTGTCCGTTGTCTGTAGTCGTCGTCTGTCGTCCGTTTACATTTACAAAGATAATCTCCACTGAAACTACTTGGCCAAATTTAACTAAACTTGGCCACTATCATCAATGGGGAATTAAGTTTTAAAAATGTTTATCAAATATTATTTTATTACTATAGGTTTCCGTTTCGATATTCCAAACATCTTTTATTTTGGCGATATGACTCTTGGTAAATGAAGGGAAGAACAAAGGTTTCCATTTCCATTTCATAGTGTTGCTACCAAATATATTCTCTTTAAGAATACTAGTTTTTTAACGTTCGGTCATTTTACTATAAAGTTCACACCATGCAGTAACCGCCTTTAGGTACAAATTTGACATAAACTTAATTTAAATTATATTTAGATCTTTACAGGTACATATAAAATATCCTATACCAAATTTTCGGTCAAAGTGTTTTAGCCAGTATTTGGCAATTGCTTTCCAACTTTGTGTTGGACTTCCTAAACTTCTATAATAGGCTTTTTATGAAACTTTCCAAACTGATCATTTTGATCCCCTCTATGCTTTCATCTAGACAACATAATTTTCTGTCGACAAGGCTGACTTTAGAGCCCCAAACAAAATCCCAGAAAAAGGGGTTTATTTCTTTTTCAAACTCATTAGGTATACCCTCATCTCAATCTCGTATCCCAAAATAGATATTAATGTTTTATTTTCAATCAGTACTTTACCTCTGTAAGTTAAATTTCTTGTTGTGAATACAGTTTTTTTATCTTGCCAATTATAGAATCCCATATTTTACTGTTATTAATGTTATAACCATGGTGCACCACTAAAGTTTTTATGCTATCTTTGATCCAGGATAATCTTTTTTAACCTTGGTTTTTTGCCCTTTAGCCTCCGAATAAACAAACCTTTTGTTTTATTGAAGTTAATTTTGGAACTGGAGGAGTTTATATTAATAACTTCAAAGCAAATGGGTGTGAGTGCAAAAGTGCGTAATTAGTTCATGCAAAATGCCTATAATTTGCCTTCTTGAATACAATGAAAACTCATTTATTCTAATCAGTGTTGCCATCTTCTCCCCTTTTCATTAGAATTATTTCTTATCTTTTATCTAACTAATTAAATGTTATATTTAAATGAACAAATGTTACAATATTCATCAAAATTGATATGTGTGCATGATAACTGCCCGAAGTTGGTAATTTTTCTACCTAAAAAAATGCAATTTTGAGCCAAAAATCCAAAGGGACCCGTAACCATGGCAAAGGGAACATAAACAATTTTATTGTCAATATATTTCTTATATGTTTGTCGATAGCTACCAACAAACAAAATTTCAAAAAAACAGAAACTATGCTTGCGGCAACTTGGTTTGTGGTGACAGAGAATTGTTATAAATACGACAAATCAATGTAAAAAAAAACTAAGATAATCGCATGAAATTCGATTGCTATGAGCTCGGTAGCTAATGCTATGAGCTCGGTAGCTAATGTCGCTTTAAAAGAATTTTGTAAATGTTTTATTGTTTCTCTTTTATATAGTTGATGTGTTTCCCTCGGTTTTAGTTTGTAACCAGGATTTGTTTTCTCTCAATCCATTTATGACTTTTGAACAGCGGTATACTACTGTTGCCTTTATTTATATATTACACAGCTTTTACAGACTTGGAACGTTTAAGAGCATAACGTACCTGTCTATTGTTTAGTCGTTGTTTGTCCTTTTTTATCGTTGGGTTGCTTTCACACTGACATTTATCCCTATTATCCTTTTATTTATATGAAATGTGGACCTTTTTATACAAAGTTCACATGTCTGTTGCAGGGACTAGTTATTTAATTTGATATTGCTACAATAAGGTCATCATGAAGATCATGGTAACATTTGATTTTTAAAAGCCAAGGGTTAATGTCGAGCTTAGTGTCACCAAATCGTTGTCACTACGACATAAACAATACACGGTTTGTTATTTCTGTCTGAATTTGATTTGAATAATTATAATAAAGAAATGATGACCACTATTGATTTTTAAGGTAAATGCTGGAGATCATAGGAGTTCAGTCCAAATCCGGTTCAGAGAATTAATTTATATTCTGCTTCAAGCTTTAAAGACATTTAAAACGTAAAAATAGACATCTCTCGTGTTTTGCACTCATTTGGCCGAATGGTAAAAAGTAAAATAACAAAAATACCGAACTCCAAGTAAAATTCAAAACAGAAAGTCCCTAATCCCTTATCAAATGGCAAATTCAAAATATAAAACACATAAAACGAATGGAAAACAACTGTCATATTCCTGACTTGTTCTAAGGTTAAGGCTTTTATCACATATAAGACTATATGTTTTGGCATTTTTGTCATTCATATCGACAATAAACTATTGATATGCTGTGGAGTGTCTTTCTATCATGTATATATTTACAATTATATTTTCACGAGACTAATCACTGAACTTGAATTTACCATGAACAACACGACGGGTGCCTCATGGGAAGCAGAAACATCTACATACCATTTCAGACCACATGAGATCAATCCCAGTGTTTATTGGTTTCTGATGCTCCGTCTTTAGTTTTTTATGTAGTGTTTTGTAAACTGTTGTTTGTATTTTCGTCGTTTTTCGATTTCTGTCATGATGTTGTCGATTTCTCTTCGAATTTTGAATTTTGATTTTCCCTTTTGTTATCTTACTCCTCTTTTTGCTTGGTTTTGTGGTAAGACATATTGATCATACATAAACAGAGACATTGGACATTGATCAATTAGATAGACAGTAACTTAACAATATAATAAAAAAGAAGATATCTGATCATCAAACATACCATTTCTCAGTATATTATTATTTTGTTTAATTCTAAAAAGTGGCTTTCTAAAAACATATTGTAGTTCTTTCTGAGATCGTTTTTTTTATTGAACTAGTAGGCTTAAACATAGAAAAAAACCTACAAAAATAAATAAATATTTACCCACGTTCAACAATGTACACAAAAAATCTTATTGGAAGATCATAAATCAATATTCCAATGTTTCACAAAATGATTATCCCTCAGGGACAACTTATACACGGTCTAGTATATACGACGGATCATCCCGAAAATCTATAATGGACAATTGGATAAAGGGAAAAGTGTTTTACACATAAATAATTTGTTGTTGATGCGAAAAATCGGTAGGGGCATTCTATTGTTTTAAATTTCTGCTTTCTATTCTGAATTTTTTTTTTCCAGGTTGACATTTTTCGCTTCCAAGTTGACATTTCTCACTTCAAAATATAATAATTAGGAGATGTGGATGAGTGCCAATGATACAACTATCCACCTGAGACAAAATGGCGTACATTTTAGCAATTTAAGGTCTCCATTCGGCCTTCATCAATGAGTGAAAACCATACCACACAGCAAGCTATAAAAGGCCCCGACATGACAAAATGTCAAACAATTCAAAAGAGAAAATCAACGGCCCGATTTATGAACAAAACAACAACAAAAAAATTGATATGGTATACAGCAACAAACAACAACCACTAGATTACAGGTTCCAGACTTAAGACATGCACATATAGAATGTGACGGGGTTTAACATGTTAGCGGCGCCCAACCCTCTCCCTAACCAGTGACAGTGATGTAACAGCACAACATAAGAACAAACTATAATGTTTACAGCACATTTAAAGCAATGAGATATTTTTTGTATTAAAAATCATATCAATTGATGATATACGGAAGAAAAATTATGAACATAAGTTTGATCTCCGACCGACAATAGATCAAAGATCTTCCAAAAGAATTAGGGAAATCAATAAACTAGATTTTTGTTTCCTACTGTTTTGAATGTCGATTTGATCAAAGGACAATAATTCAATTAACAAATATTGACACGTATTAATTTACTTATATATGTCACATGCCAAGAAACTTTTTTTAAACATGATTCTAAACTTAAAAATCGATATATCTAATAACCATTGATATCATATTTTGCTTTTCTAATAACTGTCGGTATCCTATCTTGCATTTCTTATAACTGTATATATTTAATCTTGCCTTTCTGATAATTATCGGTATTTTAACTTGCCTTTCTGATAACTGTCGGCATCCCATCTTGCCTTTTTGATAACTGTCGCTAGCCCATCTTGCCTTTCTGATAACTATGCCTTCCTGATTACTGTCGGTAGCTCATCTTGCCTTTCTGATATTTGTCGGTATCCTATCTTGCCTTTCTAATAACTGTCAGTATCCTATCTTGCCTTTCTGATAAATGACGGTAGTTCATCTTGCCTTTATGAAAACTGTCGGTATCCCATCTTGCCTTTCTGATAACTGTCTGTATCCAATCTTGCCTTTCTGATAATGGTCGGTATCCTATCTTGCCTTTCTTGTATGTGTCAGTATCCTATCTTGCCTTTAAAATGAATGTTTGTATCCTATCTTGACCTTCTAATAACTGTCGGTTTCCTTTTTCGCCTTTCTGATAACTGACGGTTTTCTCTGAAATCCAAAAACTGTCTTATTTTGGTTAAAAAAAGCTATGGACATTCCTTTCTCAGTTATCAAATGACTGTCAGCCGCCATTTTGTGGACATCTTATTGCTATTGTCAACCCTTTTCCATGCCATCCTATAATATCGTTGTATTTCAAATAAAACAACCATTTTGACATTCAATATGTCTCGTCTATATAAGTTCATTTAAATGAAAAAGGTACAGACTGTTTGAAAAAAAACAAAGCACTAAATGAATAATTTCTAATTCCAGCATGTTTTGTTCACATTTGGAAGGATTTTCAAGACGATATTAATAGTAATAATATTAGGGTTATATAAGTATTATTCAACTAAAGAATATAAACACTTCTGAAATAGAATTATAAAGAGGCTCTTCCTTCTCTTTGCAACGTAACATTTCAGATTTAACTATGTCCAGTTTCTTTAAAATATAATTAGAGAAAATAATAGAGCTGTGCTTTGACATGGTAGGGTTTTCAGAGATAGCAGAACCTGCCAGACTATCATTCCTAGCCTTGTAGATTTGTGTATGTTATGTAATTTATTGACCGATCTATTACGTAGAAATCTTTGACCTGTTACAAAAACTAATCAGGCTTACTTATGAGGTTATAATTATTTAGAAAAATTTAAAGTTTGAAGCAATAATGTTTCGTTTGCTTACTGCACTGAAATTCTATATAGTTTATTCTATGCATTGCTAAAGATTGTGTCTTCCTTTACTGATTATTATGTTGTTGTGTGAAATTTGACATGACGCGCAGCTGCCGATAGCCTGGTTAGGACGACACGTTTACCCAACACCTTCTTTTGTCAATATTGACAGAATTCACAGCATTGAAATCACAAAAACTGCCAAATTCTTAACCTGATAAAAGTACAAAATTATTTTGACAATTCTTAAGTTATTCCAATAGATTTTAAAAATTGGGACAGCCAAACCACATGTTTGAATCCGTTAGTTAACTGCGGATGGTGGCTCCTTCCCGTTAAAGTACAGAAAATAAATAAATTATATCATTGATATAATGTAGCTTTCTTAATATAAAAGAACTCATCAAAAGATGTACCACGCTCATAATTAATTACACCTGACGCGAATTCGTCTACGCAAGACTCATTAGTGGCATATATGGTCAAGTGATATAAAAATACGAAGATTTGATATAATTGCGACAACTCTCCACCAGAAACCAAATGACCTAGAAGTTAACAACTGTAGGTTAAACAGGTTAAACATGCTAAGGCTAAAGATTGAACAAAGGGTAAAATGTCAATATTGTCTATAATTTTGAAATCCGTTACAGAGCAAGATCTGACGGAGCAAACATTTGAGAGTTACAAAATTTATCAACTGCCCAATTTGACTAAAACTGTATCTGTTGTATCCTTTATGTCAAGTTCGATGGAATAGATGCAGTCAACATAGTCACCAAGCTTTGAATTATTTAGTGAGATGACATCATCTATACAGCGGAAAGTGAAGTTAAAGGATAATGCTAGCTTCTTTTCAATCTTTTTAAGAAGCTGTTGTATGAAGTCAGCCTCAATGAATTATGAATAAAGGAATAAGTCGACAAGAAGAGGAGCACAGTTGGTTCCAATGGTAATGCCGATTGTTGAAAAACACGTCTTCCAAACGTAACAAATATTTAAAAATAGTTTTTGTTTTTTTAACAGATTAGCCTGAATACACCAAATCTTACAATTTAATTTTGTATGATTATTTTAAAGCTGTCACGTATTAATTAACAGTTGGACAATATACAATTAAACGTATAATTATTCATACTAATATCATTATTATTATTCAATATAGTCTTTTTTATTTGAGAACATACAAACTTACTGGTCACCTAAATTGATTATATTGTGTATGCTTTCTTGTAGCTGCAGTTGACATTGCTAGTTGTATTTTGAACAACATTTTTTATGTGGATGGACACATGACATAGTTCATCAATCTGATTGGCTGATTAACATTAGAGAAACAGACACTAAAAGAACTGGCCCAGTGTTTGATCACACGTTGAGTCCTGAAAACAATAACAGTTAGTCTTACACGAAACGTGTCAAATGAAGACTTTACAGTTTTTTTCCCAATTATATCATGTTTTCATTTTTGTTCGTATGAAAATTTTTATTGACCTAATTTGTTATATATTAATATCTAAGATATTCACATTCGATAAGATACACCAAAGAAGTAAGATGGCTTAATGCACCATTAATAGAAAACTGGTTTGAATAAAGCCACAAAAATAATTTATTTCATTTGTGAATTTGAATATAGTTCATCGGTTGCCGTTTTTGAAAATGAAATTCAGCATTTGATTTCATTAACATTCATTCGTATATTAAATCAGCATATGTACAATATGTTATTGTGGCCAATTGTTTGTTTTTTTTCTTCTTCAAATACAAGTGCTATAACAATTATTGTATCATCAAGGTTAAACGTAAGCTATGACAGTATCTGTATACAAGTACTGCGCACGCATACCCCTTAAACAACTTTTAATCACTGAACTGTCATGCAAGTGGGAGGTTTAGCTAACTATAGAACCAGGTTTAATCCACCATTTCTTAGGAAAATTCCTGTTCCAAGTTTTTTCTTTCTTTCCGTTAGTTGATAGAGTCTAGCGTTTGATTTTGTCAGTTTGTATGGACTTTCCCTTTTTGAATTTATTTTGGAGTTCTATATTTGTGTATTCCTTTTTTACGACATTCCATATAGCGATATACCACATCAAATATACGAAAGAATTCATACCAAGATATATAAAAATAAAATAAAGAAATAGAGAAACCCTTTT